TCACCATTTGCAAATAATTGACCAAGTGTTCCTGATTCTACATTTAAACAAATGGCATGGAAAATATTTTAAATAGCTAATAATTATTTTTGATGTCAGTTTAAGAGAGATACTAATTGTCTTGCAGTTTCAGCCATAAAGAGTATATGATTCTAACTACAGTTCAGTGCTAGTTTGATGGCTGCTGTTACAGTGGTGCTTGAACCAACAGTGTGTGACAATAGGTGAAAGGCCAGAAGCAATCCATGGTGGCTGGAGTGACTGGGGCCCGTGGAGTGAATGTTCACGGACTTGTGGTGCTGGAGTTTCTATCACAGAACGTCAGTGTGATCATCCAGTTCCAGCTTTCGGGGGAAAGTTTTGTGTGGGTGAACGTCGAAGATACAGAATCTGCAACACTGAGGTAGGCATAAATATTATTACTTAGGTGAGTCAAATGAAAGCCGTAAAACTGAGATAAAAATTCAAAATATCGCGCCGTTGTCCTATAAGTTGGCAGACATGTTACCAATGCTATAAAGAGTATCCTATAGGTGGCAGTATAATGCAGACAAACAGAATGCCATCTCAGTGCCGGTTTGAAGATGGCTGCTCCACTACATACATGCACGAAAAGAGGACAGCGTTCTGTAATTCGTTTTTTACCAGTGAAGGTGTGAAACCGATTGAAGTTCATCGACAGATGAAGGTTCAGTATGGTGATGCATGCTTGTCACAGCCACAAGTGTAAGAGTGGAGTAGGAAATTCAGAAATGGTGTGACATCTGTGGCAGATGCTCCTCTCCCAGTTCAGGCACACAGAGTTGTGACCCCTGAGTCTATTGCAGCAGTTGAAGCCCTAGTGATGGAGAATCGCTGAGTGTCGGTGGATGAAATAGTCGAAATGCTTAACATGAGTCACGGATCAGCACACGATGTCATTCATAATGTGCTCCAGTTTCACAAAGTGTCTGCAAGGTGGGTGCCATGGCAGCTGACTCCAGAATTGAAACATGGATGTGTTGACGCCTGTGAAGAATTTCTGCTGCACCTTGAAGCAGAAGGTGATGGCTTCCTTTTGAGAATCATTACTGGCAATGAAACTTGGGGGCACTACCACCAACCGGAAACAAAAGAACGAGCAAGGAATGACGTCATTCCTCATCACCAAAACCCAAGAAGTTCTGGACGCAGCCATCTGCAGAGAAGATTATGCTGACTCTTTTGGGACAAACTAGACATACTCTTGGAGCACTACATGCCTTGGGGGAACACTATCACCAGTGCCTCATATTCAGACCTCTTGAAGAATCATCTTCGACCTGCAGTCAGATCAAAGCAACGTGGACTTTTCCAACATGACAATGCTCGGCCCCATAGTGCCTGTGCAACAGTTGCAACAATCCAAGACTTGCACTTTGAGTGTCTTCCACATCCGCCATACTCACCAGACCTAGCCCCAAGTGATTACCACATGTTTGGGCCACTCAAAGAGGCGATGGGAGGAAAGAAGTTCCGTTCTGATGAAGAGGTACAGCAGGCGGTGCATGAGTGGTTGCGCAGGCAACCACAAGAATTTTTTTCTAGAGAATCCATACATTTTGTAAACGCTGGAGGGCTTGTATTGAACGAAATGGATACTATGTAGAAAAATGATATAGTTGTGTACTGCTTTCATTCAGTAAATTAAATTTAAAAATTGTTTACGCTTTTCATTTGACTCACCCTTGTAGTATTACAGTTCTTTGGCTTAGCACAGTTTCTTTCACTGCTCTATATGTAAAAGTATTCAGGATAGCTTAAATTGTTTTTATTTCCTCTTCTTGATATATATAGATTAGAAACAAATAGCATGTTTTATGTACTGTGTCAATGTTTTGTTAAACTAGTATATTTTTGTTAAAAAAATCTGATGGTTTGGAAATGTTAGGGGTGTCAGATTACTTGATTATTTATAAATGTTTATAAAGTAGTTTTTAATTTTAGTGATGTGTTTTATAAATCTGCATCAACTTCCCAAGAGCCCATGCATCATATTTTCACGCTTTGTATGATACCCAGGTAGTCTTCAAATCCAAAGATTTTAGGATTCTGTTGCATGGCAGCCCAACGACAAAGCACTAGCTTAGTTATAAGATTTGAGGGCTTCATTTCAATAAGAGTTAAGATAATGATCTTGATTTTTACACCATGTAATTTTGTTGATGATGACCAACATTTCAGGGGAGCCTGCTGCCTCCAACTTCAAGGTAGAAGATAGTAGAGGTGAGATATTGTTGGGTTATAGAGTTAAGGTGAAAAGATTAGGTTCAAGGAAACAAGAAAACTGGTAAATTAGAGCCAGGGAACAAGGGTCAAGAAATAGAGACAGTCTTATCTTGGCAGTATGAAACCAGGAACAGGAAGGGTCACTTTTGGAGCCTGTACATGAAGTATAGGGTATCAAAATCCAAAAGACCTCAATCTAAATACTGGCCTTGCATTCATAAAATTACTGGTTCACATTTTGGCCAGTACAGACTGTCCTGGTTGTGGTCTCTGCTTGCAGCTACCATCTTTATAAGCAAATGGTTAGGAGTCATTGAGTCAGAAAGGAATCATCACTACTTTGTGCTGTTTCTTTCATTGTTGTAGCATCTGTCATCAGTCTCTCCCATTCCCTCTACTCTTCCATGCAGTGTCCTTCCCCATATCATGTTCCAGTAAATTCCTAACATTTAACTCAAATTTATAGGTGCCCATTGTAGCATAGTTGGTTGAGCAACTATGTTGCAAGACAGAAGATCGCCGGTTTAAAACCCGATGAAGTCAACATATTTATCAATTGACCTAATCCTTACAGCCGCACTGTGGCCCTGAGGTCAGCTCAGCCACTAACAGAAATGAGTACCAGGAATCTTCCTGGGGGTAAAGGGCACATAAAGGTGACAACCTCACCATCATGTGTGAGCCAATTTTCCAGAAAATGTGTGACCCCTCGACATCTCACAACACTGGTCCTCCACGGCCTGTTGAAGGGATAAGAAAAAGAACTCAAATTTGAAATAGCCATAGCAAGGTTGTAAAAAGGAGGGACTTGGAGAATTCTTTTTCCTTGTGTGAAGCTTAAAATTGCTACACATTCATCTGTATTTTTCAGCCCTGTCCAGATGGGATGCCAAGCTTCAGAGCTATGCAGTGTTCAAGTTTTAATGATCAAGACTTTCATGGCAGAAAGTATACATGGCTTCCTTATTTTGACAAAAGTAATTACTATTTAAGTTTTTTAATTTATAATGCAGTTGGTTCTTAATTTCTGTTGACTGTTAGCTTGTTCATACAAGCTAGTAAACAAAGCATGATTTGGACATAGTAATTCTATTGCTGTATAGGGGGCTTGACAGAGCCTCAACCATTCATAAGTTTGTAGCAGATCTGTTTGGAATTTGTCACTGATCCAGATTTCATTCTGGCCTTTCATTTTGTCATGTGCTCATTATGCAAGGTATACACAGAATTTTAAATAACTTTATACAATTGTGAATTTTTAACCTTTAAACACCGGACTTTTGAAATGGTGGTAAGCTTGAGCGGGCCGGAGTTTATTTAAATGCCCGTTGCCTACTCTGCATTTAAATGTCCGATCCTGTTAGGGCACTTAAACAATTTTAAGTATTGTGTTTAAAAATGCTGTATCTAACACAGTTTTTATGATAAATGGATAGAATTAACATTGTATCATCAAAGAACATAGTGTCGCATATTATAACAGAAGTTTTGAAAATTTTTATACTACAAAGAGTTTTAATCTATTTTCAATTTTTTCTTTTAATTTTGATGCGTACTTTAAAAATGGCTTCTCTGTTCTTCACAGTGTTGTTCCGCATTATAAATTCATTCCTGCTTGTAACACTTGACATATTTTAGCAGTCCCTGGTGTCATAAAACAGATGGAAGCAATAAAATGGTTCTCTGCTGGAAAATTTTAGATCTTTGTTACACTCTTCAGATTTTCGAATCTTTTGACTAAAGGACAGAAGAATGAAAGCATGTCCATTCAAGAAAAAGCTAGAGGGGTCCCTTCTCCAGTGCTAAGACCTTCTGTTATAGCTGCAAGAGATTACTGACCTTTCTATGGTCGTGAACAGACAGTTCCATCGTGGCTGAGAGAGTGTGATCTGTTTTCTGTGCATTCATAGTGAAATCGAATACTGTAGTTTCATTTCAGCCTATATACATATCAAGGAGATAATAACAAGAAAGGTATGTACATCGAATTTTACTGTATATTTTTAACACATTAATCTGCAGAATCTACAATAAAAGTACTGGCTTATGGATGAGTTTGGGCATAACCCATAGGTATACTCTTTTTTGTTTTGTTCACTTAGATATCATTTTAATTCCTCTGTTAGGATTTTATTCAAGTCTGGCTGGTAATTACTATGCTTAAAAATAAATATTTAGGACTGTGCATGCATTTCTACTAGTGCGTGTGCACGCACTTCCACTATAGAAGTTTAAATGCCCGATTGGCCAAATCGGGGTACTTTGGACGTTAAAGGTTAAATAAGTAATTATTACTCCATCTTCTGTTACTGAGTAAATCATCAAAAGTCAAGACTGAAGAAATTAAATGTAATTTGCTTTGCAGCAAGTATGGATTTATTCTCTGTTCAAAAATTGATTAGTTCATTATGTTGCTATGAATAATTTAATATAATTTTCTCTTGCTACAGTTAGCTATGTTAGTGAATGGCTACAGATGGTACACACAAAGGGCATCAGAAGTTATTCACTTTATCACAACATCCAGAATAGTCCCACAACTCCCATTAACTTCATTGAATTTGAGTTGGAAGTGAAGGGGGTGGGAGATGCTATTGCTGGGGAGAAATCACCAAAGCATTATTTTTATATAGTGCCCAGATTTGAGAACTGAGGAATTTTAGCATCATGTCACCAATACACCTTAATGATATCTTGCTTTGTCAGAGATATAATTTTACTTTTCTGTGCTTCACCTTTGCCTGTAACTTATATACTTAACAAAACAAATGTGCAAGTATTTGAACTTTACTAAACTTTGCATATTTTTGCTTCTAGTGGAACCCTGTGAGCTCTACTGTGCAGATGCAGATGACACTGTCATAGTCCCTTGGGGAGATACTGTGATGGATGGAACACCATGTAATGTTGGCACAAGAGATATGTGCATTAGTGGAATCTGCAGGGTAAGTTCTGAATACTGCAGTATTCAACATTTATGAATTGCTGGAATTTAATCGCATAATTGAGAATATATAAAAACTTACGTAACAGTGTGCTTGACCCTGTTTAATTGTTTACATCCCATTATTCTTCCCTTCTACACATACTCACTGAAACAGAAGATTGGTTTCAGGATTGTTGAGTTACTGCAGTTCGTCCATAGCCTTGAATACTGAAAGAGCACAGCAGGGTCCAGTGATTTACATTATGTCTTTCTAAACAATATAAGTAGGTGCCTACCCAGCTTCTCACCTGAAGACTGAAACAGACCAAGTTTTGGAAATGCATTTTTTAGTATATGAGATGATGAACAGAGCCCCAAAGTGACTTGGATGAATATATGAGGCTGCTAAATGATTAATAACAGTGATGTCAATAATCAGATTAAACGGTTGTAATAGTACATCAAAGACTGCATGGTGATGAAATTGGATGATTGAAAATATTCACTGAAACTGTTCAATACTCCAGATGTCTTCATGTTATCTGCATGTAACAAGTTAGACTGTGCTCAGAATTAAGAAGCTACCTTACAAGTATTTTGCCTTATAGATTTTTAAATGCAGTTATTCATGTTTATTCCAAATATTAAGACATTCGAAACTGTAATATTACTTGCTACTTTGTGTGTGAAACTTGGTCTGTCAACTTAAAGGATTTAACTTGTTTGAGAACAGAGTGCTGAGGAGCACATTGGACCTAAGAAGGAGGTAGGAACAGGAGGTTGGAGAACGCTGCATAATAAGGAGCTATACCTAATTTCTACTCTTCGACAAATATTATTCAAATAAAGCAAGACAAATTGGATGAGACACATAACATGCATTGGGTGTAAATGTAGCATATGTGTACAGAGTTATAGACCGAAGATCTGAAGGCCTAGGCATAGACAAGAAGGTGAAATGAAACTGGATCTTGAAGAAAAGACATGTGAGGGTGTGGGCTGGATCTAGCTGGCTCAAGATATAGTCCAGTGGCAGTCTCATGTTAACACACTAATGGAATTCATATATCCATAAACATTTAATTTATTGATGATTAGTAACATTTACTGGTAAATAAAGTGTTAATTGGAACAGATTTTCAATTTACCTGAACCTTCCAGCTGCACTATGAACCTGAGATCACTCAGCCTCTAATAAAAATGAGTACCAGGAATCTTTGGGGGGGGGGAAGGACGGCTGACGTGTAAGGCTGACAACCTTACCGCCACGTGTGAGCCGATTGTCTAGAGAAAACGTGGGAGCCTTGACATCTCAAACATTATGGGCCTTCATGGCCTGCTACAAGGATAGCTTTACTTTTTACCTTGAAGGAAGCAGTCAAGGACTAATTTGAGTCAATATTCTTTAATTGTCTTGGAGACTCTGAGGAAAATCGTGAAACTCCTTAGCCAGTATGACCATTATTCCTGCCAAAATTCAAACTAGTTACTTCCCAAATACAGAAAAAATGTATTATTACATAAGACAGTTTATTCAGTGGTTCCCAAAGAGATAGAATTTCCATGATTTATTTCAACCGTCTTCCAGTGCATACACTCATCTATCTCCTCCTCTCACTCGCACTACATGTTTCGGCACAAAAGTGCCATCTTCAGGTGCTTATTCAATTTACGCTAAACTAGTTCATTGCATGCCTTGTCTTCATATTAAAATAACTAAAATATATATTTATCATATATATTGATAAATGTTAAATGTTAAAAATATTAAAATTGTTCAGGAATTTTTTCTTCCCTACGTCGTATCTCACTACGNCTGGCTCAGGATAGGGACCAGTGAAGGGCTCTTGTGAACATGGTAATAAGCCATCAAGATCCATAAAATGCTGGGAAGTTCTTGAGTAGCTGCACAATTGGCAGCTTCTCAAGAAGGGTTCAGCCACATGAGTGAGTGAGTGAGTGATTAATTTTTCAATCACGCAATGAACTATGTTTTGTAGTGTGCNATATTAAAATGGATCTTAGAGAGATAGGATGGAATGGTATGGTTTGGATTGACCTGGCTCAGGATAGGGACAAGTGAAGGGCTCTTGTGAACTTGGTAATGAGCCATCAAGATCTATAAAATGCTGGGAAGTTCTTGAGTAGCTGCACAATTGGCAGCTTCTCAAGAAGGGTTCAGCCACATGAGTGAGTGAGTGATTAATTTTTCAATCACGCAATGAACTATGTTTTGTAGTATGCCAACATTTAACAGCGGATCATGGAGGTTGGTATTTACTGTTCCCAAGCATGCTAGTATCATGCTGTTCCTGCACCTTTGTCAGTTTACACATGATGACAGATGAAGGAAGTTTGTCTGTAGAGCAACACATAAAAAACTGTTGTTCTTCACTGAAGCAAGAAATGTTGTGGTAACACAGAGGCGGTTTCATTCCCATTTTCAGATGCAATGGGCTCCTTCATGCAAAAGAATTCATAAACTGTATAACAAGTTTAATAATGTAAGATTTGAGATCTTCATGGTGGTAACTATAAAGAAAGCAGTCTTTTTGGGATGTGGCACCATGTAGATGTGGTGTTAACCGACGTTTCGGAGGAACATATCGCCTCCATCTTGCACCTGTTCTCACTGTCTCTTCGCTTGCGGATTTTCTTATTTTTTCTTCTATCCTGAAGATGGAGGCGATACGTTCCTCCAAAACGTCAGTCAATACTACATCTACATGGCGCCACATCCCAGAAGACTACTTTCTTCAAGTATAATAATGATGGTTCACTTTTGGAGATGAAACATCACTGGCCTTCATCTGGGCGTTCTCCAGGGAATGTTGATGCTGTCAGAGTAGCGCTGCAAAGACGCCCCAGTAAATCAACTAGGAAGGCTGCAGCACAACTAGGGATATCCGGATGATCAGTGCAACGAATATTGAAAAATGATTTGAATTTGAATCCATACAAAATTACTGTGTTGCCTAAACTCACTGTTTGAAACATACTTGAACGAATGGCATTTGCTGCCTGGGCTCAGAATAATGAGGTATCATTTGACAAGTTTTGATTTTCAGATGAGGCACACTTCCACATGGATGTTGTGGGTAATAAACAAATTGTGCGATTTTGGGTGTCACAGAATCCACATGTGATTCATGAGAAGGTGCATCATGCACCGAGAATTATAGCGTGGGTTAGCATCTCAAGTCATGGACTGCTAGGGCCAATTTTCTTTGAAGAGACAGTGAGCAGTGAGTGTTATTTAAGCATGTTGCGCAATACTTTTATGCCTCACCTTCTTGCTACAGGTTTGTCATTACAAACTTGGTGGTTCATGCAGGATGGAACCAGGCTGCACACAGCAAATGTTGTTTTGGACTTTTTGCATAACACTTCTAACTCACATGTTATCTCAAACCGATTTCCTGATCGTTTTGCATATGGACAGAACTGGTCCCTGATAGTCCTGATTTAAACCCATTTGACTATTTTCTTTGGGGATTGCTTAAGGGAAAGATTTTCCAAAAAGTCACAAACAGTAATAGAATTGAGAGCACTAATCATTCAGGGCTGCAACAAGAAAACTGAGGATATGTGCCATCAGGTAATCAACATCATCACAGTTCATGTTGAAGTTGCCAAATGTAATGGTAATCGTATTGATTGATTCATTCATTCATTCATTTTATTAACACCCATGATATAGGACAAGTCAAATACTTTCTATATACAATATTTGATCATTATAGTAAATTAAAACAATAAAATAAGGCTAATAATAATAATAATAACACTAGTATATTAATTTTAATGCACACAGAACACAGCAACACACCTTAATGCACTAATCCCACTGTCCCAGCACAAGACACATTGCAAATTTTGATCTCCCTCAAGTAACCCATGAAAATATTTCCCTGTCACATAGTGACCTAATTCATGGAATAAATAACAAAGCTAAACGGTAGACATTCCCATGTATTCAACAACCTACAAATTCATTATTCTTAAAATATATGGTTACAAATGACAGGTACTAAGACTTTTCCCTAAACAAGAAAATCTTTTCTATACTATAAAAGCAATGATCAAATAGGAATTTTTTCAAAGCATTCTTAAACTTATATAGTACTAGTATCTCTTTAAAATAATGTGGTAAATGATTTAACATACAAAGTCTGATGTTATTAAAGTAGTTTATGCATAGACTAATATTACATGGAACAATAAACAAATCATCTTTATTCCTAGTATTATATGAGTGTATTCTTGAATTGGTTGTAAAAACGATTCAAATTGGATTTAATGTAAACTAAAATTTCGTATATATAGAAACATGGTAAGGGTAATATGTGTAAATATTTAAAATATTGTTTGCAACTAGTAGTTTTCGGGATTTGCATCATAGCTGTAATAGCTCTCTTCTGCAACCTAAAGATCAATTTACATTTGCTGAATTACTCCAGAATATCAATCCATATAATAGCAAGGACTGAAAGTAAGCGTAATATAAAGTACAAACAGTGTCCAACCCTATTATTAGTAGCCAGAACTGTAGCGGTATTAGCACTACCTGCTATACGATATGATACACTTGATTCACAGAGGGTAAATCTCCATGCAGTGGTTTTTCTTCTTTTATGTCAGTTTCTGGTATTGTAATTGAAGTAAAGGCTTATTAATAGATTAAATACTGGATCATTTTATGTGCCACCCTGTTGTTCTGAGGTTTACTGCTTATAATCGTCTTCATATTTAATCTTAAGGGCCCTAAAGTAAGGTGACCCCTCTTTTCTAAGAAGCAGTAGTTACCACAAAACTGATACACACAATGAAAATGAGCAAAAAAAAAAAAACTCAGATTTTATTCACACTAATGCCATACATAAATAGACAGTTTCAAAGTTCAAACTAATGCATGCACTATTACAGCTGATTGGTGGTCAATGAGGAAATACTGCATGTACTGTAAGAATATGAAAAGAAAGTCATCATATTACTTTAGTGACAATTATATGTGAAGGTGATGTCTGTGAAATCTGCCTGCTTATGTCTAATTATAGTCTGTCAGTTAAATAAGTTATATTTTATCCATGATACCTGTTGATTGGATATAAATGCAGGTAGTGGTATGTCTGTTTCCTGTTGGCCACAAGACAGAGAAGGCCCTGTAGGTGTGATTCATGCAATATTGCTTGTTTCATCTATCAATCAGGAAACCAGTAAAATATCCATACAGTGTTACAATATAGGAGTGCTGCATTCAGTGATTGGTGGCTTAACAGGTGATCATAAATAATATGAGAACACTCTCATATAGTAAATGTTGTGGTCAAGTGGTAGGCATTCAGAGGATCCCTGGTTTATTGGCATGGAGATTGGATATGGTGACAGATTTTGTATGGTTTTTCTTATGACATTGGGGCAAGGATTAGTACCTTAAATTAGACCATGATCACTTCCTTCTACATTCTGTCTTATTTCTTATTTGCCGTGATCCTGACATTCAGTGCTGTATAATCTGAAAAACTGAAAGTTTTGCTACAGAAACCAATAATAATACTTAGCGTTCTGCCTGTATACCTGGCATATTCATCCATTCATTCACCTATGAAGGACAATTGCTCAAATGAATGCATTTTTATAAAATGAATAAAATATGAAAGAGATGTAAACCTCAGGACTAAACTGTTTGTTGTACTGTATATGAAGTGTTTTACTGCATGTGTTGTACTGTATTATTAAAAATGTTTCTTTTAGTGCACTGATGCATCCTGCTAGATGTATGCAATGTAGGATTTTCACAGCAGTATAAATTTAGGTTGTGTAAATGTGGGTTTTGACATGGTGCAGTCATGTACATGGTTATTAACTTTTCTTCTGTCCTCAAGATTGAGATAAAGATTCCTCCAGAATATTGATAATGACCCACAAATCCACACCATTTTATAACACAGAAGAAATGGATTCCCACTAGTCATTAAATAATTAAATAATTTTCCTGGGGAGTAAAGCGCGGCTGGCACGTAAGGCTGACAACTTTACCGCCATCTTTGAGCCGATTGTCTAGATACTGTGGGACCCTCAACGTCTCACAACCCTATGGGTCTTCACGGCCTGTTACAGGGATAGCTTTACTTTTACTTACTTTACATTTCATTTTACCTTACCTTTATTAACATAAAATAAAAATTGGTTGGTAGCAATATATGCATTCTGAAAGTCAATAAAATCTGCAATCATAAATTCTGTGCTATCAGGATGACTTCAGTGCAAAATCTTCAATTATAGTTGCATGTTGCATTATCTTCCTAATGAAATATATCTCAGTACACATATCTAACTACATGACATGAAACAAAACTCATTTTTGCAGAAAATATCTACCCATAACATTTGGAAGTACATCAGTGTGGTTAAATTCCTATTTCTGTGGTGCAGGGAGAATGCATCTTTTGGCTTACAATTTATTGCTTATGTGAAAAAGCTAAAATAGCTATGCACCTTTTGAAACGTGATCTCTGTTTCAGCGAGTCGGTTGTGACTGGGAAGTAGATTCTGGTGCCAGGGAGGATAGATGTGGAATTTGCCATGGTGATGGGAGTCAGTGTGAAACTCAGAAAGGGGTGTACTCCAAGAGAGAGGGATCAGGTGATCACAAATCATATTGTGTCTTGTCATTTTTTAGGTTTGCCAGAACATAAAAGGAAATATTTGCTAATTCAGGTGGAGTTAGTTTTATACTGCATTATGAAATCACAGCTTGTCTTTTGACAGATTTTATAATCTATATCTATGGAACTAGCTGCCTTGAGTGAGATTTGTAGTCCTTGCAAGCAACTGACAAGATTACATCTCAAAACAGATAGGCTATGTATACAGTGATTTTTTTATTGTATATAGTAATGGTGGGGGTATAATTTTTTTATTGCTAGTGGGGTGGGACTAAATCCCTTTTACTGCAGTCGCTTCTGGCGTATTGTACCAGCCCCAGATGATAGGTGTGGGTGATTGTGGAGCAGTTGGTGGAATGAAGATTGACAGGGGAAACCAAAGTACTCGGAGAAAACCTGCCCCACCACCACTTTGTCCACCAAAAATCCCACTTGACAAGACCCGGGATCGAACCCAGGCCGCCACGGTGAGAAGCTAGCGACCAACCGTTTGAGTTATGGCGTGGCTCCATGGTGGGGGTAAGTAGCATGGATAATTGAAAATAATGTTAATCCAAAAGATTTCAAGTACCCACTATCCTTGCTTCATTCAACCCTGAAAATCACTTATTTACCTACATACTGCTCATGTTACAGGCCACTAAACAGAGACAATAGAAAAAAGTAACCCTTCTTTGTACCTAAAACATTAAAGTAGTAAAATAGAGGTTTGCTATAGGGTGAGAAGATGTACACTGTACTAGAGATCATTGTAAGGAGTCACTTATACAATTATTAAATCAGATTTAAAGGGCAATATTTAAATCATATAGAAATTATAATATATAGCTAAGGGGTTCTAAAAGTTCAGGGGTTAATCCCCAAAGAGAATAATGTTGCACATAGATAATAGAGAGTTTTCTGTATTTCTTCTTAGCTACTTGAGAATTTACCGTCAGCAGTAACATTATCCTTGACATCTGGAGCACTGTTATGTCTTCAAACATTTATAAATTGTTTCACAATGAGGTTTTCTGTGTGTTATACAGGTTATAAGGAAGTTGTGATCATCCCTGCTGGCTCCAGAAACATTAAAGTTGAAGAGGTTGGGAACTCGAGGAATTATATTGGCATTGGGAGTGCTACATCTGGAAAATTTTTCCTGAACGGGAAACGGTAAACAATTGTTTAATTCTTGTGGAGTAAATAAATGTTCCATAGCAATGTATTTTGCATAAGAGGCATTTCAATCAACTGGAAGACTGAGGTTATGTTTATTAGTCTTATAAATTTATTGTATGACAATTAAAAATAAATGTAATAAACTGTAGAGCTAGCATAGCTTCTTCAGTATAATAAACATAAAGATACTCTAACGTTGTGGTACGTAAAATAGTCACATTATATTTTTGAGGTACAGGAGTCATCAACACAACAACAAAATAAATTTAATGTTAATACAATTTATCGAAATTAATAAAAATATCAGTAGTACAATCTGTTTTGCCCCATTCAAACGCTACATGATTTAGATGCACGGATCATCATCAAGTGCTTTGTAAATAAATAAACTAATTAATAATTGCACAGTTAAATGAATCCATTTTTTGCAATGAAAAATATCATAATAAATTTTTGTCATAAATGATGAAAAATAAAATATAAATTATAGTGGTTTTCTTAAATCGTTAAAAATGTTAAAATAGGGTAGATGAAATATAATGAGGGGCTTGTTAAGTGTAGTATAAGAATGGTGTATATGTACAAGTAAGTAGCAAGAGTAATGCGGTGTTTATTGAGATTTTAATATATGTACTTTTGGTGGATCTGTTCTCTTGTGGAAGTTTGTTGAAGCAGTGTATGTATAATATGGGTATATAAGGTGTATTATACCGTGCTGATTGTAAGCGATCATTACCTACCAGCATCATTCTTAAATATTACCAGCCACAAAATAAATTTTTAGTTTTTATAAATACTTAGGACTTAATACCATTTTTGTACTAAAGGTGCATTATACTCAGTCTTGCAGTAACTATTGTGAGAATTGGTAGCAAGGGATGTTTAGATAAGGACTACTGCAACTCGAGACAATCCCATGATAGCCGGCAATGTATGTGTATCAGCTACTCCTCCCACCAGCCAAACTAAAGAAATTTCCAGAACATTCCCAATTTGTAGAACAGTGTGGAAGTTTCAAGCAAAATGTATATGTGGAAGGTTCTGTAAGTATTACATCATTTGAGAGTATTTAAAGGCTGATTTCAGATGGCGCTGATCATTGTATTCATTGTAATCATTGGTTTGCATCACTGGGTGTTGTGTATTACTCACTATTGCTGGCTAGCAGTGAACAGTACAGTTGTGTACCAGAGTAGTTGTATCAGCTTAAACACACTGGTTTGTGTAATATTGTGTAGTGCTGTTAACAATAAATTAATTTCACCGTTTCACTAGTGAATTGTGGTCCAGTGACTTCTTCATTGAACCCTCTCTCATCAGAGCAAGGCCTGTTAAGCCTAGAGTGGAATCCGTAAAACTTGCACCCGAACATTATTCCTGTTTCTATCCTCACACCACTCCCGATATTTTTGATGTGGTTATAAAATCACATGGCACCCAACTGTAGACAAGGAGGGAGTGGGAGGAAGGACGCAAAAGAAGAGGGACGTTAAATGGTGAAATATCTTGTATATAGTGGAGATGATGTAGTATTCAAGTATACAGTTGCTGGTATCATATCTGGTGGAAGTAATGATTCCTGGATGTATGGTAGAGTGCAATTTATGTCATAGTTGTAATTTGGCTTGTAGGTTCTTTGTAGGTGCAGAATAGAAAGTAGTAAAGTTTTCAGTTATTGTTGTTGGATCTACCAAGTTGGTTATTGCTTGCTGTGATGAGTCTGGGATGTGGCTAATAGGAGTGCTTGGAGGTAACACCCAAGAATCTATTATGTATGTACTTATGCTACTTCAACAAATTTATAGAAGAAAACAGATTCACAAATAACCTTTAAAGAACACTCTTAGTCTTTTCACATAAGTGCACCTATACACTCTTCCTATGCCACACCTAAGAAAACCACTACAATTTGTGTTTTATATTTTAACTTTTAACACAGTACTTCATTATGACATTTTTCTTTGTTAAAATGGATCCATTTAGCTCTGTAATTCAATAGCAATAATTAATTCTATTTATTTATTTATTTATTTACAAACCATGTGATGGTAATCCATGCATCTGAATCATGTAATGGTTAAAAAAGAAAATTAGATTGATTAAACAGTTGATATTTTTGTTCATGTTAATAGATTTTATTAAATTTAATTTTCTTCATTGCTGTGTCTGTGGTTCCAGTACATTGATTTTATAACACAACATGATGTAAATAATAAGAAAAAATAATTACATTTTTTAGTTTTCAAATAAGCGCATGACTTACTTGAATTCTGTAGCTGAATTCTGTGACATAATTCCACCTAGGCCAGAGGAAGCTCAGGGGCAAGTGAAACCTTTGTGATAAGGGAAGGAAGGTGCTGCATTGTTTGGTGGAGATCACATGAAGTATATTTTTCATTGGTTAAAACTCTCAGGGCGTAAGCAGCTCAGATTCTGGGATGCAAACTTTCTGCTAAACAAGAATATGACAAGGATGTGTTAACAGGACCTTTGGTAGCTGCTGGGTATAGATCAATTTGGAATCAGTACTGTCAACTTATGCTATATACACAAGATTTAAATGTATAATTCATTCTTTAGGCAATGAATGTTCATCAGCAGAGCAGATTGTGTGTTTAATTACTGTTTTAGTGCTATTTTAAATCACGCTTTTTCATTCACAAGACTTTTTGAGATCAGATGATAGAGTAATGAAACTTTTGATGTCAGCATAATTTGCACTTTTCTGAAAGCATGAGGGGTAAGCATTTGGTTTATTTAGCTATAATACTTCATGGACTGAGCTGAAATAATCACAAACTGCAAATTTATATATTTGTAGCAAGATTTTTTTTTTTATTGCTAGTGGGGTGGGACTAAGTTCCTTGCACTGCGACCACTTCTGACCTGTTGTACCAGCCCCAGATGATAGGTGAGGGTGATTGTGGAGTAATTAGTGGAATGAAGATTGGCAGGGGAAACCGAAGTACTCTGAGAAAACCTGCCCCAGCGCCACTTTGTCCACCACAAATCCCACTTGACCAGACCCGGGATCAAACCCAGGCCGCCACGGTGGGAAGCCAGCAACTAACCGCTTGAGCTATGGCGCGGCCTGTAGCAAGACTTACTAACATCCACATCTGAATAAAGGCATTCTTGTGCAAGTTAATTAAAATTATCCTTAAACTTAATTATGTAGACAGATCACACTAGCTGGAGAGTACCTGGTGGCAGGCACACCTGCACTTTATGAAAGAGAGAGAGACTGGGAAAAAGTCCGCATCCCTGGACCAATCAAAGAGGATATATTAATTTATGTGAGTATATAGATCAGCATATTTCTGAATATATGCCTATCTTTAAAAAAAATTAAGTTATTCTATTAATGTAAGGTAGAATTAATAGTGCTTTTTCTTTTTTATTGCACAGTTCCATTCCATCGCCTTATCATTGCTTAGATCAAACACAGTCATAAGTATCTTAATTTTAGTCTGCTTTCCTTGTTTTGAAAAAATAAATAGAAATAGGTTTATGAGATCATCCTTCTGTGTGTCTGTATGTTTAACCCCCTATTGACTTCTGAATGCCTGAACCAATCTTTATGAAGGTTGGTATGTACGAATATATCATGGCATATGAACCCATCCCAACAACATACTTCGTAAATCCCCCCTGTCAGTCTCTTTGTCTGTGTGTCTATATGTGTATCCCCACCATCACTGCCAGTCAAGGGCTTGGTAAACGTGTTCCCATGGCAACGAATACATGCAACAATAAAAAAATTGCACAGACTTACTGGGTTCTTGGACTTTTTCCATCATCCAGAATTCTAGGTAATAGAAGACATATTTTGGAAATGATCTGTTTCCATCTTCAGGTGAAGAAGGAAGACACCTACACAGTGAACCAGTGATTGAGATTAGCTCTTTCAAAGGGGCCCAACTGAGTAGGTGTCTTCCTTCCTCACCTGAAGACGGAAACAGATCCAGTTTCCGAAACATCGTGTCCTCTATTACCTAGAGTTCCAGAGGATGGAAAAAGTCCAAGAACCCAGTAATATGTAAGATTTGAGGCTTTCACGGTGGTGACTATGAAGAAAGCAGTGCCAAATCCAAGAAGACTGCTTTCTTCAACCCAGTAATTCTGTGTGTCATCCACCATTGTCAGAACCCTTTAGAATCTAATAAAAAAAATTGTTGGACACATTATTTTCTGTGTGGTCCATGTCTTACCAAAGGAGAGTCTGTGTCTCCTGCTATCACTGATAGGCAAGAGCTCTGTAAACATGTTCCTGCAAAAATGAAGACTTTTTGGAGGCACTTTTTTCTGTGTAGTCCATGTTGTTTCAAAGGAGGGCAGGTGATGAGCTCTTCCCAGAACTTCTTGTTCTCATTTTGTACAATAACCAAATGCACTCATTTCTTAAAATGCAGTTCATTTGTTCATGAGTGAATTATATATTCACTCATCAGGTATAAAATTGTCAAAAATGAATCAGCTTTCCCATCTGCGTCCACCATATGGCCGTAGGAAGGGACAGGACAGCAGGGGCTGGTAATGATACAGAGTGGATGAATGTGGCTCACATGCCTGCAATTGCTCTATATTAGGTGCCCATGCAGTGAAGGAGGGATTGTCTTTTATGAGTCATGTGAACCAAAGTATTTTTTTTTGTATTTTATTTATCCTAAACTAATTACAAAAAAGAAATGATAAGAAAAAATAAAAAATGAAATGGTTGATTTATAGGCCAGAAAAAGAGAAGCTGAACTGAGGGCCCAGAATAAGTTGAACCCTACCTCTAGTTTTAGGTTGGACAATCATCACCTTGTCAGAAATATAAACATATTTTATTGTAATTTTACATATATTCATCAGCCAAAGATCAAACATTCAAAGCCGATGGAGTACAGTTCTTATACTGGGTTTCAGTATTTGTCCAGATGTGCTTTCTATGACAGATTTCTCAATATTCTATCAGTGTTTCCCCTGAATGATAATAGCCAATGGAAGAAGGCAAACATAAATGGCTTCAGTGCCCTCTTCAAAGTCAGTCCTTTGCTGCAGAAGCTAAGAGATAAATTCCAGCAGACTGTACCCTAAAGAAGAT